GCGACAGTCCTATGGTGGGCAGGGTTGCCTTGTAGGGAAACCTATGTCGAATCAAGAGGTGTGTCCTACTCTCGATGTCTATAGACCCATTCTGGGGTGGTGGGTTTTCAGAAGTGGTTGGGGGTAGTTGTTGACGACGGTCGAGGTCTCCACCATTATCATTGGTTGACTCTCCCTAGCGAACAGACATAAGCAAGGCTCATTAGTAGCAGAAAGCAACCACATACATCCACACAGACTATGATATCACACTAACTCACATAACAACCAGCATACTCAACAACCAACAGTAGCCATATATGATCCGAGCTGTGCCAGGTTAGTGCTTAGAGGGGCTCATAGGTTAGACCTTGGTTAGCTGACCATTAGACACTGCCTATGAGTGCCCTCACTGCTCACAGGACTAGTTGAAAACTATGTGCCTAGCTCCTGAGGTTCCTGTATAACAAAGCTTGTACGGTAGTCCCTCAACTGGGGCTGAATGGGGGAGCTCGTTCAGCGCCAGTGCCCGCGTCCGCTGTCTGGTCAGGTTGCTCCAGTAGAGAGTGATGTTCCTCGCATGAGGTAAGATAGAAATGGAGTGGGGGTGCGTCAGGAGATATATAGAGAGGAGTGGTAGGATGGGAGTCTCGTGGATATGTAAAAAAAAAAAAAAAAAAAGACCTTCAGAGAACGCAGCCCATTGGCTGACCGAAGAACCCATCCTCCGAATCCGCTGCCCCCTTGCCCATTGGCTGACAGGAGAAGCCAGAAAATGCTTTTGCTTTCTCACAGAAAAAAAAAGGTTTTAAAATCTGCAAAAATTGGGAAAACTATTTTTTTAATGCTAAAACAGCGCCACACATGTTGTACAACGCTGCTAATGGGTCTGAAGGTGATGGGCCCTCACAGGCCATTGTTTGATCAGAGTGATTGCAATTTCTGACCCGAGTGATTACAGCTTCATTGTCTGTCTTGAATTTCATTCACTACTGACATACAACGACGACGCGGGCTCCCAGCCCGTAGTGTCCACCAGCCCCTACCTTGACTGTGACGAAGGCCAAACTCTTTTCCGGGCACCAGCCATATTTCTGTCTTTCCTGGAAGTGGTGAGAAGTTGAGGGAGGCCCATCAAAATGATCCCCACAACTATTAAAAAAAACACCCCGCCTATGCATCTGACTGCAGTCACGGGCAGAGGCGAGTTAAAAGATATTGCTTTCTTTCTGTTTCTTTTGTTCATGATGTGATATGATGTCATCAGTCATATGGCTGTGGGCCCAGGTCCCTGGTCGAGCAGAAAATTCATTCTCCTCTGGCCGTGACTGCAGTCAGTGGCCTGCCAACTGCATACGATGGCCCTCGCTCCACTACTCACCACTTGCGCAAAAGACGACAAATATTGTGGCACTTCTATCTGCCCATTTTCGAAAAAAGATTCATTCTCAATTTTGCACAACCCTCAAATAGAATCCTTTTGAAACCCCTCCGCACAAGCAACCGGTCTCCCGTGGCCTTGCATCGAAATTCAGGGCGCCATCCACAATCCAAGGTCGCGGACGGAGCCGCCAGCCCATTTGACCCCTCGTCCCACCCTCCCAATTACCATTGAATGTACGTGCCCTACGACCACCTCAGTGCACGACACAAAATGACAAAGACAAGGGCAGTAAGGGGCTGCGAACATGTTGAAGATTGTGAACGGGTGTGCCTTCGCAACATTGGGCCTCGCTGCACTACTCTCCGAACGTGCAAAATGAGACTGAGGGCCTCGCCACACCACAGTTGAAAGGCAAAAAAATTCGACGGCTGTCAGAACAAATTCGACAGCCTCCATTCGACAGTTTGCCCCCCCTTCGCCACACGGCACTGTAGAGTGCATGCACTTGTGAAAGCAAGATGGAAAAAGACAAACGCGCCTGAGGGTACGATGAGCATTTGTCCATCCCGACCTTACGCCCACTCACCAAATTTCGAAGCGAAGTCGATGGCGCAACCGAGGAGTGTCAAAAGCATCAGAGTAGCAGGCTGGGGATTCAACAACGTTCGACAGGAGGTGTCGAGAAGCATTCTCTGACAAATGGCGAATTTTCTTTCCGTCTCCGACTTCGACAGCCTGCGTGGCGAAGAGAAACTGTCGAAAATCGCATTTTCGACAGTGGTGCGGCTACACCCTGAATCTTTTGCTAGGACATGAAAAGCTGCATTGCCATCTTTTCTGTCTTTTGTGCATCTGGAGAGTAGTGCAGCGAGGCCAGGGTTGCGTTTGTCTGTCTTGTGTTTCATTCCATCCACCTAGTTCTCTCTGGATTCGAGCTACAGTTCATGGGTGTGCATCTGTCTTGTCTTTGATTTTCTGCTTGTTGAAGAATCTTTAGCCGACATGCCCATAGCACCAGATGGACTGCAAATTTTTTTATTTTTTTTTTTTTTTTTTTTTTTTTTTTTTTTTTTTTTTTTTTTTTTTTTTTTTTTTTTTTTTTTTTTTTGCAAAATCATTTTGGAGAAGACCGTATGCTTTTTTCTCTTTTGAAGTTTTTGTCGTTTTCTGAAAAGGATGGATGCAGTGAGCTGGCAACTGGCTGACATGGAAGGCACATAACTTTTTTTTTTACAAGAAAGCACACCAAATGAGAGGCCTTTACCCAACATAGGGAATAGGTGTCGGGGTGACAAATCCAGAGAGGCCTTTACCCAACATTTGATAACACACACCAAAGAAAACCTCAACAAACAACCAAAGAAAACCTCAACAAACAACCCGAAAGGAAAGAACAGAGTTTTCTGGGACCTTTACCCAGCATAGGGAATAGGTGTTGGGGTGAGAAATCCAGAGACTGCCGATGTTCATAGGGGAGGGGTCAGCGACTGGCCACTCAGATGATGCTCGGTCCCTCTGCTACCGGCTGTTCCGTGGCCGGGGGGTGTCTCCCATTGGGGGTTCCCTGAAGGCAATCAAGGTCACCCTGGGCTGAAAAGGCCACCCGGTGTCAGATTAGACACAAGATTGAATTTACCTGGGCTGGTTAGTCCGATGATAACACCTCAAGTCCATCGCCCTTTAAAAAAAAATAAAAAATCCAGAGACAGAAATGGCCAAATCCAGACCGCTGTCCTGCCGCCAACCCTGGGGCCAGGACCGACTCGTTTAAAATGGTGTGTGGCGTTCTTATCTCATTTAAAAACGTGTAAATATTTTTTATTTTTTATTTTTTTTTAAAAATAATTCTTTGAAGCCCAACCAATTCAATTACCTGTCAAATCTGGACAGGACGGCCTTTCAGGCCTTTTTTATTGTCATTATAGTATTACGGGGAACCCCATAGCAGCCACATCCGTGCTCAAGCCTCCAACTAGGGAACATGCGGGAGCTGCACCCACCAGCAGGTGCGATACCTGCTACAGAAGGTGGGCGATACCGGCCAGGGATCAGCCGGTAGCATCAGGACCGAGCTTCTTCGATGGGCCAGTCACTGTGCCTCTCCCCCCGGTCCCCTCCCCCTATGAACATCAGCAGTCTCTGCTCAATGCCACTCGGGGGGACCAAAGGCATATATCTAGGTGGCGGGCGCCATGCTTGCCCAGGAAGGTGCATGAGGCCAATGGGGATTGAACCCAAGACCTCCTGAATGCCACTTACATGCCTTACCAACTGAGCCAGGCCGCTGGATTATAACAATGTGATTTTTCGTTTACACGAATGCAAAGAAAAAGACTGAAAAAACGAACAATCACGGGGTCTGACTTCGACATCACTCTTCCACCAACCCGGTACATCTGCATGCAACCTTCATGCCGGCCTGTTCGCAGTCTTCCACGGAAATCTCAATATTGTCAATTTCTGCGAAAAAAAATAGCAAGGCGTGAAGCTTCAAACCCCCCCCCCCCAAAAAAAAAAACATAGTATTGAAGCTTTTTTTTTTTTTTTTTTTTTTTTCTTCTCTCAGTTTCACCTCACACTACCTACCTACCGCTACTCCTAATTGTAGGCATACGGGGAACCCCGTAGCAGCCAGAACCGTGTTCACGAGAGAACATGCGGGGGCTACTCCCGACCTGCAGGTGGGCGAAGCTTCGCGCCAACGCAAAGTGGCCAACTAAAAGGCCAACAAATGATTTTAAAAAGATTCTACTGGCCGATGCGCAGCTGCCTCCACGAAAACAAAGACAAACGACACTATCAGATTGACGGATGTCACGGACGGCCGCACGTGATTGAAAACTGAGGAGCACAAGCGTAAATCGGACCTAGTCGGTCCTCACTGGCCCCTGAAACAAAAGAAAAAGAGCCTTCACAGGCCTGAAAAACCTCACAATCCCGGAAAAAAAAACAAAAACAAAAATGGAAAACCTCACAAACCAAGGCACAGAACAAGGCGGGCCACTCGCCTGATGTTAACAAGGCGGGGGCTATGGCGTCTGTATCTTTCCTCTTTCTCCCAACAGATACATTCGTTATTTGACCAGTTAGTGCGCCGCGGCCCTCTCCCTCTTGCTGTGTGCATGTCATCCACGTAACAAAAATCCCTTTTTTTAAAATCTCCAATGCCCGCCCTCCACGCAACCCTTTTTTTTTTTTTTTTTGAAAGTAACGTGCGCTTTAATGGTTGCGTCAGCAGATGTGTATGTGTGCGTCAGCTGTGTGCCCCTTGCCCCCCATGTGTGTCTATTCTATGGGGGGAGAGAGGGAGGGAGGGAGGGGGGGAGGGGGACGTCGGTCGGTCGGTCGGTCGGTCGGAGGGAGCTTGAAGCTCTTCAAATTTTCACTGATTCAGGCCCTCTCACCACACCACTAGCGGGTGCATCTGGCCATGTTCTAGCGGGAAGTTCGTTCTCATTTCGCACATTTCGAGAGTGGTGTGGCGGTGGCCTCAGCAGGTGCGAGCAAGCGGGAGCGCGGGTGCGGGTGCGGGTGCGGCGCGCCGATCGGCGGGCGTTGTTTGTCGGCGGGCGTTGTTGTCACCTGTGAAACTGCGGCAATAAAATGCTGGGCGCTACCATAGCGGGGTACGCTGTGGGGCAAGGTGCCCCCCGTCCGTTAGCGAGCATAGTACAATTGCCAGCAAGCAGACCTCGGCAAAATTGAGGTTGCACGAGAGTCCATGCTGGCCGAGTCCATGCTTGCCAAGGCAATCCTTTTGGTCGTTAGAGGAAAGAGATGGTTGTTGTGGATGCTCTTTGGTCCTTGATGGAAAAACGTTTGAATTGAGATTGAGAGGGAGGCACAGCACACTGTTGGACCGACCTTGGGAACTCCGAGACGACGAGCTGGATGCGTATAGTGAGAACCTACACTGTGGCGAGTGTTGGGATTGGCGGGCTTTGGTCGGGACACAGCGCCGAAGAAGGTGAAGAGAAGCGAGGGAGAGGAGTCGACAGACAAATCGCCTCGAGGAACAAAGACGCAGATGGTGGCCAGGTTCCTTCTTATCTCAGTCGCCTAAAGAGAGCGGGGTGAGCTGATCAACGGCTAGGAGTCACCTGAAGAGAGCGGGGTGCGGGTGCCTGTTTGACGAGCGGCACAACATCAGCCAATCCATTGATCGATCGATCGATCGATCGAGATCCAGATCCAGATCGAGATCGAGATCGAGATTGATCCGTCGGTTTATCCCCGCACGCCCGCGGGCTTGTCCGTTGGTTGCTTGTTTCTGTTCCTTTTCCCCCCTTCGCTCTGCGCGGGGGGAGTTAACACACGCACAAGCACGCACACACTCACACACACGCACGTGCACACACACACAGAGAGAGAGAGAGAGAGAGAGAGAGAGAGAGAGAGAGAGAGAGAGAGAGAGAGAGAGAGAGAGAGAGAGAGATTCGTAGGGTTTAGGAGGGGATCAGCAGACGATGTGACATGAGAGGGGAGTTAGAGGATCGGCAACAGGGAACAACGGATGCCGTTGGCAAGTGATGGAAGCCGTCGGCTGCCTGAGGTAGGGGCAGTGTCGGACGCTGAAAGCGGAACTGTGCCTGTCGAAGCGCAAGAGGGAAAGTTGAGCCGGCAGCTATTCACTGCAGAGACGAGGGGGAACTTGGACAGATAACATCACGTCAAGCAATCGAAGTCAGTGGAAGGAAGAGACAAGATCAAGAAGCATGAAGAAGAAGGATATGGAGGATAAGGGGGAGCAGACAGGGGAATCAGAGGGGAAAAAATCTCCCCCCCCTCCCCCTCCATCTTCTGTGTCGTACTGGAAGCTATATAGCTTTGCCGACCCTTTGGATTATCTCTTGATGCTTCTGGGCACGCTCGGATCAGCAGCCAACGGGGCAGCCATGCCTGCCTTCTTCTTGTTTTTCGGTAAACTCATAGATCAATTAGGTACTCTGGGACGAGTAGAAGAAACGCCCGAGCAACGGCAAGCTACTCTCGACAAAATCAATCAGGTCAGCCAGCAGCTTCCATTTTCCTTCCAAACCAATGGTTATTAATTTGTTGTTATTATGTTAATTTATTGCATTTTTTGCTATCCACCCGCAGGCCTTCCCCCCCCTCCGGCCCCCCCCTTTTTTTAACACTCTTTCCCCCCTCTCTTAATGGTATGCCTTTTTTTAACACTCTTTTCCCCCTCTCTTAATGTTATGCCTTTTTTTAACTCTTTCCCCCCTCCCCCCTCTCTTAACGGTATGCCTCTTGAATCCTGGGGGAAGATCCGACTAGCAAAGAGCATTCGGTTAAGCGCCTGAATCTGGATGTGTTTTATGCAGAGATGCACAAATGCAGATCAACCGCGATTCTCTGCACCCGTCCACAAACGCATCCAGATCCGTTAAACCCAATCCTCTTTCCAAGTGGGTCCTCAGCCCAGATGATACGGCGGCGCCACCGGTTGAAATGCGTAGAGGACACTGCGCGTTCTCAGTTATTTTTTGCTTAAAAAATAAATGAAAAACCTTCCACGTTCTGGGTGCAGTGTGAATACGACGAGCTGTAATGTTTTTCAATGGAGTAACTTTTTTTTTTTTTTTTTCCTTCCCTTTTTCGCGTGTTGTGAAAGCGACTTGGCCATTTCTTGTCAATATTTCGTTCCGGAAAATGCAATTACCTTTTTATTCTTTTCTTCGGGAATCTACCTCCCCCGCCTCCCCCCCTTCCCTCCTTCCTCCCCTCCCTCCTCCCTGGAAATCTATGCGCCCCCTTGGAAATCTACGTCCCCCCTTTCTCCAACATTACACTGTTTTTGGCAAAGACCTAAATTTGTATATATATATATTTTTTTAATTTTTTGTTAACTGATCAGAACAGAAACTACACTTGATCTTAGCCAAAAGGCCGAGAAAGGTATTTTCATTTGATAAGGTTAGACCACATGAACACCACCCTAAGCGTATACTGTAATACGACTCAGGCCCGTCAGTGGAGCCGCGAAGGAGTAATATATGAGAATGCCACGGGAGCAGTCGTTGAAAATGCTACAGGTTTTTGGAATGTGAAATGCAAGTATGGGCGTCGCTCCACTACTCACCAAATGTGAAAAATGGGAATGAATCTTCCGCTATAACGTGGGAAGAAGCGGAGTGGTCCGGGTCCACTTGCCTGACCGGGCCAAAAAGAAAAATAAAAATAAAAAAATAAAAATGATTTTTTAATTAAAAATTTTTATTTTGAATTTGGTGAAGAATTTCCATGTGGTGCTGAGGCTTGTTCAGTTTATTTTTCTGCATAACATAGTTTTTTTGGGGGATTTTTTGGTGTCTTTCTTTTTTTTTTGGTTGGGTCCTTCCTTAGTCCTTGCACGGCCGGGCCGCCCGGGAAAATAGGGTGATCCCCCGGGCGGCCCGGCTGGTAGCCTAGCATAGGAAGGATTTAACCTTCATAAACCTTTGTAAGTGCGTCTTACAACTTACTTTTTATTATCGACGGCGAACCCCAGGAATCAATGGCATCGCTTTTGTTGTGCTGACGTTTTCATGTTGATTGCCACGCCTAACGTAGTCACCCGAATAGAACGCACGGTCCTTTTTTTTTAAAACGCAGGTCGTTAGCGCTGTGTTTGGGCCAATTTTCAGTCTAGTGCTCATCGCGGTTTCCAATCGTAGGATGATACCAATGGGAATAGATAGCTGTATTTGGGCCTATTTTCAGTTTAGATGCAGCGATAATGACCGTGCGTTGTATCCAGGAGAGACGGTAGTGCTCATCGCGGTTCCCAATCGCAGGATGACACCAATGGAAATACGTAGCTAGTTCTAAAAAAAAAAAAAAAAGAAATACATAGCTAGATCCATCTTTGAAAGTAATCCGTCGATCCAAATAGATTTATCAATCAATCGTTCGGTCTATCGAGAGATCGGTACATAGGCATGCAAACGCGGCTGCTGTATTATATCGATAGATCTGTTCATAGACGTGGAAGGATGATACCTCGACAGAGAGCCAGATTGAAGTATCGGCCCGCCGATCCGACCAGATTCATCGACCAATCTGTCGATCTGTGCATGGAAAAAGATAGTCAGAAAAAGCCAAACAGAAGTACTTTCTAGGACTAAGGGATTGATAGGTAGATAGCTAGGCTCAACTATCAATCCGTTCATTCCAATCAGATTTATCGATTAGTCGGTCGATCTGCCGATAGATCAGTACGTAGACACGCAGATGTAGGGCCCCGCCGCACTATCTTTCCACAGAAGCTGGCAAGATACATTCATTACTATGCATGCGAACCGATGAATTCTGCCAGCTTCCGTGTGACGATGCACTCGCATTTTTTTGGTTTCGTGAGTAATGTGCCGAGGCCCCTAGAGACAGACAGA